AAAGCAAGGCTCCATCACGGGTAACCATTACTTAGGAGGACAAATGGCATCACTCCAGATGTCCCCCCCTTCCTCCTTCTTCTTCCCCCATCTTTATATGCTGAGCATGATGTCATATGGTATGGGATAGCCCTTTGGTCAATTGGGGTCAGCTGTCCCAGCTGTGTCCCCTCCCAATGTCTTGTGCACCCCCAGCTACTCGCTAGCGGGGTGGGGTGAGAAGCAGAAAAGGCCTTGGCTCTGTGTAAGCACTGCTCAGCAGTAAGGAAAACATCTCTGCATTATCAACACTGTTTTCAGCAAAAATCCAAAACACAGCCCCATACTAGCTACTATGAAGAAAATTAACTCTATCCCAGCCAAATCCAGCACAACACTATAGCTTGTAGCATATGCTTACAATGCGGGACTTTTTACATAAAGCTATATCCCCTATATAACCTCTGAAAAAAATAAAATAAGCTAGCAATAGCATGCTTTCTTACTTATATAACTGCACAAGAGTTTGGGGTGCAGAGCTATTACTAATAAATCACCATAAATAGATCAATATGTCAGTACTTTAGTGCTCGAATCCAACCATCTATGGGGAATTTGTCCCTTGGTAGCAATCAATCTGCTGTACTTAAAGTTTCCTCCCCAGATCTGCAGCTAGCACAAACTGATCAATGCTGTTCCAAGTCAGTGGAGCATAACAGCTTCATGTTCCCAGTGTTCACCCTTGCAAGTCCCCTTCTCCTTTGCAGGGACACAGAGGTTAAAGTATCCTTTGCTACGTACGCGGGATATCTCAAACTAACTCCCTAACTTCCAGGCAGCAAAACCAGCCTTTCTCACCACCAGCCCAGTACAGCCCAGCCAACAACCCAGCACCTTGCCAGGTGGAATCTAATCTGGTCCTCTGCAGGCAGCAATTCCACTGCAGGAGCCTGCAGCACTTCTTCCAAGTAAATGCAGCAAAATTAATTCTGTAAGCCATCCACATTTTGCCATGCATCCTGCATAGGGCCCTCCTGCTGGGGGGTGGTTTGCCAGGCGGTGCGGAGGGCAGATACGCAGTCTTGTAAGATGCTGAGCTGCTCTTTCAGAGGGGTAAGTAGCATTGCTAGAGAAGACATGAGGGACCTGGAGAAGATCTCAACAATCTGGCTTTGGCTAATAGGATTACAGTTCTACTGCTGAGGGAGAGTCCAGGGCTGTATCCCAGTGCAACCTTCTCCACTTGGGGCTCTATCCCACATCACCTGTTGCTGATGATTTCTGTGAGGAATTTTTCCTTTCCCAGGAGGTGCCTGCTGATGGAACTGCCTACCAGAAGTGACTTGGGATGCAAGTCACAGGACTCAGAATTCACTGGAGAACACATTCTTCCCACGCAAGCCCCAGAGGTCATCTCTGTAACTCAAAGCAAAGAGAGCCCAGATCCTACTGACTGATGGAGTAGGGGGGAGGGCCCAAGGCGGTGGGAAAGAGGGTCCAAGACCTGTGAGTGGTGATGCACATACCACCAGGGCAAGCATTCACAGCAGGATCCCAGGGTTATCCCAAACAAGGCTTGTGCCTGAACACTGGTATTAGGCAGAGGTCAGGGCTGCTTTGGTAACTACCACCTACTTACAAGCTCTGTCCAGAGCTCTAGGCTGTTAACAAGCTCCCTGGGACCAGCTCTCAGCATGTAGCACTCAGAGGATGTTGCTAGTAGGTACAAGTTCTCAGAAGTGAAGTTCTCCATGACCCAGGAACACGTGGCAGCCAAGGCCTGGGGACCATGAAAGGGATAGATACTCTGTGCTGTGCTTGCAGGGCTGGCTGGACAATGCAACCCCCTTCAATGGGATCATTCCACTGCTCTCCAGAAATGTGTCTGGCTCACAAGGATGGGCTGTGTGTCATGCTTCAGGTCTGCACGCCTGATGCTCTCTCCTTTTCAGATTGCAGTTAAGTGGCAATGGAATTTCCTGGCCATGGCCCATTGTCCCACCAACCACAAAGGTTTGTGCAAGGGGTACTTGTCACTCCTGCTCCTGACACAGGGCCCCCTTCCTCAAGAGCCATGCCATAGACAGAAGAACCACAAGCGTAGCAGCCACAACCTAACAATTACATTCCTTTCTGGTGGCTTGTCGTGAAAAAACACCAGCAATTCACAGGAAGGCCCTGGCCTCCTTAATAGCAGCAGCAGCGATTGATTGAGTGCATTTTACGAATCTGTTCTGCCAAACCATCTCTTGCTTTTCACCTTTTATAATCAGACACCTACCTCTGACAGTTGTAGGTAAGAAGCTGTAGATGGTACTGTGGCCCCTCTCCCTCTGCATGAGTCCCCAGTGCTTCTGGTCTGCTTTCCTGTTCCTCCTCCATGGAAGCCTAAGAAAAAACAATGCATTGGATTTTCCAAACCTGTAAGAATTCATGTTCTGATTTCCTTTCTAATGGCTCACCTGGAGGGGAGATTGTGAGCTGCATAGCTCTCCTTTCTTCTCAGTGATGGGTCCTCAAGGCTACCTTTCAACTGCTGTGGTGCAGAGCCTATTTTGCCAGGATGAGTTTGAGCTAGGCAGGAGAAACAGAGCTGTAAGGTTCTATGCTGGTTTCTTTCAAGCTTTGCAGGCTGTTCTGAAAATGTATTGTGTAATCTAGGAGACCGATGCGCTGAACTGAGCAGAGTTTTCAATTACCAATAGAAAAATGACTCCCTAAGAACAGACATTCATTCTTCTCTCTCCAACTGTTCCCGCAAGGCATCCCACTGCTCACAGCACGGTTTGACTTTGCTTCATTTGACTGCTGAGTCCTTGACTGAAGTTGTGGTCTGCATTAAGCTGGAGGGAATATGAGGCACCGGCAAGCAGTATTCCCAGCCATACTTGGGTATTGACTTTTCCAAGCCTGGTCTATGCAGCCACCCCCTTTCTGGGCAACTAATGAGGAAAACTGTCTAGCAACATCTCTGGCCTAGAGGGGTCCATTTTTGCAGGAGAGGAGCAGAGCGGCTAAGACAGCGCTGTCTGCTGTTTATCTGCCACAGCTCGGCCCCGCAGTAGAGTCAGTTCACTGCGATGGGTCACAGTATGGGAGAGTGACTCTCATGCCTGGAGCAACACGATTCCAGCAAGCATTTTCAGAAGTTTCTCCATCAGAGAGAGACAGAAGTTCAGCACTGGTGTCAAGCACTGAGCCTGTTTGATGTTGCTACGATGCTCTTGGGTCACAGTTAAAACATCTCATGCTGTGTCACTGCAGCACAGGCAGTTTCCATTGTCAGTAATGTCTCTTCTAGAGGTAGTCAAGGATGCAGCCATGACTGCAACTCCTCACAGGTCCCTATCATGCCCAGTAGCTTGATTGCAGCTTCAGACCCCATGCCCATCATTAACTCCTCGTTACTCTTACTGAGCCCCAGCCAAACACAGGCTCAGCAGAAAGCACCTGCTACCTCCCCACTGCTCCTCCCTGCCCCAGGCTCCCAGGGGCAGCTTGCAGGAGCTGGGTCAGCAGGTCAGGGGCTCCAGGACCAGATGGAAGAGGTGGAGTCTGCTGTGGTTTCACGTGTTTGCTCAGGCAAGAAGGTTTGGGGTCTGGCGAAAGGGAGCAGGCTGGGTTGCTGTGACTGGGGGAAGAGCCAGGCCAAGAGGAAAGCAAGTAGGAGTGGTGCTGTGGAGGGTTGTGTGTTTGCCAGGATGGCCCATCGCTGTAGGGCCAAGGGTAGGGAATGGGGAAATGCTCCCCAGAGAGGGCTGCGCTGTTGTACCCCCACCCCATTTCCCAGCCGGACCCCCAGAGCCGTGAGGTGATGAGGGAGTACGAAGATGGCAGCACCGCCACCTCTCTCGGACCGTGGCGGCCCCGGGCCGGCGGAGCTGCAGGAGGCTGAGGCCCGGAGCTCCCCGGGGAGGCTCTGGGTTGCTGTGACTGGGGGGAGAGCCAGGCCAGGAGGAAAGCAAGTAGGAGTGGTGCTGTGGAGGGTCACGTGTTTGCCAGTATGGCCCCTCGCTGTAGGGCCAAGGGACAGAAAGTCATGGGGAAGACAGGGCAAGTCAGGCATTTCCTCAGTCAGCCTTGCACCAGGGAGGCCCAGCCTGAAAATGCAGCGCCAAGCCGGGAGGAGGATGTGCCAGCTGCTCTCTGCCTGCTCCAGGAACCTGCCCAGCTCAGGGCTGTGGAGGGGAACTGGGAAAAGTTTCTAACATGTGAGGCTGTACTGTTGTGCCAACTGGCCCGAAGGTCTGAGTGACCACTGCAGACAAGGGGGTAGCAGAGGACTCCTTTCTAACCTTCATCCCCCCTACCCAGAGCCACAGCGAGGGTTGGTTTGGCTTGTGCCTCACTCACACAATGATGAGAACGTGGTCCTGAATCTTCTGCAGAAGCTTCACGCACTGCTCCACTGTGAAGGACTCTCGACTCTGCTGCAGGTGCAAAGATAGAGTGGCAAAAGTCAAGGACAGCAGCTGGGGCAGAGAGTGTCCCTGACCCCCACCGTGCTACTGGCTCTGAAGGCAGAAGTGGCTGCGGCCCCAAAGCTGCTGTGCCGGGACACGACAGGCGGCCAGGCTGCACACAAGAGTAGCTGGCTCTGTAAAGGCTCCTCCTGTCCAGCTGTGCTTCAGGGCTGCCAACAACGCTGCCTGCTGGGATGCAGCACATATGGGAATGATCTCATAGCAGAGAAAAGCTTTAAAAATCCTTTTACTAAAAAGGAGACAGTACACTACTCTGGCTTTCATAGCCTGGCAGTAGCACAGGTGGAGGAGGCCCTACTTGCTCAAAAGTGGCACAAAGCTATCAAAATATCAAACATAAGGACTTTGTTCCACTCTCTCTCCCCTTCTTATACAGGTGTCCTGACAAAGAAGCTGACCTAGAGCATCCATCCATCTGCTGCCTGAAGAGTTATAACGGAAGGAAAATGTGGCCAGAAGGCCCTGGGGCAGAGGAACTGCTAAAAAAAAAAAAATCTGTAACATCTGTAACATTTTCCAGTGACTCTGTAAGCTGAGTCAGTTAATGATCAAGTGCAGGCTCTTTTAACAGCAGCATTTAAAAGAGATGTGGGAATTTGGGAAGCAGAAAGTAAACAGTTGGGTGGAGGCAGGGCCTGGGCTCAGTAAGCAGGCCTCCACTATCTCTGAGTTTTCTGTCAGCTCAGGGCTCAGAAGCAGCAGGGGCCACATCAGAAGAGCAATGCTCACCGTACGCACTCTCATGTCTCTGTTATACACCAGCCCTGGAATGAAAAAAACAAGAAAAGATTTTGATGTCTCGCAGGAGTTGCTCTCCTCCTCAGCTTTGGGGTCTGCCCATTTGAGACAAGAGGAATAGGATTATTTCAGATTTTTCCCTTTTTTTTTTTTTTTAATTTCCTTTCTTTAGCTGTTCTAGGATTTGAGCACCAACCCCAGTTGCTAGGAATGGAGAGCTCTGCCTCCAGACCTAATTGATCCCATTCAGGCTGTGTACATTTGTAGCTAGGGCATCCTGTACCCTGTGGAAGACAATGGGTGTTGGCACCGCTCCCTTCCCCACCCAGCATTGGCCCAGCACTGTAGTGAGCTCCGTCTCCAAGCAGCCCCTTACCAGCGGGTGTCTCAGTTGCTCCTCGCTGCAGTAGGATTGCCCCACCCTCCGCTGTCAGATGTCTGTTTGCTTCTAAAAGCCTGGGGGAGACATGGCAGAGAGATTGTTCTGCTGGAAAAGGGAGGAAGCGAAGCGAAAATGGCATGACAAGGTGACAGCAAGCTCTCGGGCTGCTTCAGAAAAGAGCAAGAAGCAGCAGCAGATTCTGGCAGCAGAAGCAAAAGGTCTCGCTGAGATTCCAGAGGACTTGAAAGGGGAAGTGCAGGGACAGTTTCCCCCTTCTGGTTCAAGCAGAAGTAACTTTGTCCAAGGTGAGGGCAGACAGCAAGTGAAGAGGGTAGATGGGAACCCACCTCTGCAATGCTGCTTCAGGGCTCCGTGCTTTGGGAGTTTGCTGCTTTGCCTCTAGACTCAGTAATCTGTCAATCACCATCCGTTTTGATTTCAGCCATGCCTCAGTGTCCTGAAACAAAGAGAGGTAGGGAACAGGAGTAACCCTTCTCTTCTGAATTGTTTTATCCCTTATTAGAGGGTAGAAGAGGGCATTTCATCCTTCAGCATCCCTCAGAACTGGTACCAGTTACAGACACCGTTCCATTTCTAGGCAAAAGGGAACAGCAATACTTAAAAGGCAAGGTAGGAACAGAAAGCTAAACACTGCTGTAAAGAACCTATTAACTTTTTACCCCTGCACTCTTTTCTACCCCTTCCTACCTCACTTTTGAGTTGAGGACAACTGTCCAAAAGGAAAAGGGAAACCTGGTATCTTTTGTCTCTCTGACCCTGGCTTCTGTCCCAACCAAAGCCCCAGCATCTGGTAGTGATGATGGCAGGTCAGGAATGTAGCTTTATGTCCTCCCAGAAGCAGAAAAAAGGAATCCACCAATCTTGCACCCAGGTCACCCAACAAGCTGGTGGCAAAAAGACAACCTCAGCTGGCAGTTGCTTGGACAGAGGTTCCAGTTCCTTTTGTACGAGGGTATGGTGCGGACAAGTAAATTTCTGTGCTAAGGGACCACAGTATGTGGAGCACTACCAAGTATCCCCCAAAGGCCACCCTAAGCAGGGGCCTCAGACCATGCAACAAGGAACAGATCTATGCCTGCCAAAAGGAAGAGCACTGAGACTTGTGTGACCTGCCAGGAACTGGTCGGAACAAATGAGCAAAAGAAAATTTAAAAAAAAAATAAAAAATCTATTTTTTTATTTAAAAAAGGTAGGGGAAGGACACATGAAATCTAACCTCTGGAGCCAGCAGAAAGCCAAGATTTTCCAGCAGGATCAGCTTATCCACCATCTCAGGATAAAGGAAGCAGAACTGAGGAGAGATGAAACAATATGAGAGAAAGAGAAAAGCTGAGCACTGAGTGATATCTTCATCCTGCTACACTGGAGAGGAGGGGAGGGACTCTCCTCGCCTCAGATCCAAGTCCCACACAGTCTGTCCCTTCATTCCTCTTCCATTTGTTGCTCCAGCTGCAGAAATCACAAACCCCATGAAGAAAGGATGCTTTACTCACCATTCCTGCCACAGACCCACCTGCAAAGGAAAGAAGGGTGCTCAGTTGTGCACAGGACACCCCCCGGTAACAGGAATTCCCCTTCCCCACAGCAGGAGCTGCTTCAGAAGCAGAAACGCATGTTGTACCAAGGCACAAAGCCCCAGTTAGAGAGTAAAGCTCTTTCAGCAGGCAGGATGCAGGCTGTCCCAGCACAGCAGAGCTATTGGCCAGCTGGACTTCCCATCCTGCGCCATCTCCCTCTCAAGCAGCAAAGGCCAAGGAAGGTTTCCTAGTTAAAATGCTATGGTGTGCAGGTCCTGTGAGCTGTGGCCAGAGCAGCCCTGGGGAGCAAAACCCAAATCATGGCAAAACCTAATCACATCCCAAGAGCAAAGGGATAGAGCCTGGTTCCCCTTGGCAAGCTCCATGACCCACCAAGAAGGGCCCTGCTGTCCCCAGGCTTTGTGGCCTTGTGGGGACCAGGCAGGAAGGCCTGCTGCAAATTCCCCTGACATAGACCACCCCTCTTTGCCCCCCTGTTCCCTCCTAGGGTTGGGGGGGGGTATGTTGCTCTCCATAGCAAGTTACCACAGTTTGTACTAGAGGGTCTTGAAAGCAGAGGCATTTTTCAACAAGGACACAGATTTTTTTAATCACTCAAGCAAGAACCTGGTACTTGATACAATGTAATAAATATTCCAACCCAGCTCCTAGCAGCATGTCTTTAAGTTAATTATCTATTTCTACTTCCACGAATCTCACAGCTTACAAGGACAAGAGCCACTTACCCATACTGTGACCCATCAGGGTGAACCGTCTCCACTGCAAAGCTAAGTGGCAACAGACAAAAACAGTGCTGCATTAGAAACCAGAGCAGCAGCTTCTTGCTGCTTCTCCACCAACATGGGCCCCTTCTCCTGGGAGGGCTTTTGCACTGCTTAATTTGCTTCCTAATCCAGAAATGAGGTGGCTAAGTAGGCCAATTTTAAAGAAAAAGAGCATCCACCACCTCGTTTCCTTGGTAGTTAAGTCACACAGCTCTCAAGCCCTCTCTGTATGGCAAACTCAGTAAATTCTCATTCATTGCCAGACACAAGACTGGCAAGAAGCAAAGGAGCCCAGCTGGGCAGCATCTGCTCGAAGAAAGAGACCTTGACAGAGCATCCTGCTGCAGGGCATTCTGCAAGAGCCATGAGGACAGAGAGCCAGGTCCACTGCCTTGAGGAAAGTATGCTTATTCCAAGTGAAAGCTCTCTGCACATTTAGCACATCAGGCTCTTCAGCCCATTTTTAGGGCACTCCAAGAGGATTATGGGAAAATACTGCTTCATCAGGGCTGCCCGTCTGAAATATACCTCACCGAAAGACGTGTTTTACTCTCTGGCATGTCAAAGAACTTCTAGAGGTTCTTTGTATACTGAATGAGGGATGCAAAACTGCACATGCAACAGCCTCCCCCAAGATCAGCGTACAGATGGCGAGTTAGATCAAGAGTTATTAGAAGCCCAAGACACCTTGGCTTTCAGATTTCTTTGTGTGATACTAAAGCAAGCAGCAAGCTGCCATCAGGGAGAACCAGAAGAGTAAATCCCCAACTTACACCTAACACTGGTTAGAGGTCACTGGTGGCTTACAAAAAGTCAGTCTGGCAAAACTATTTCTTCACATCCACCACTTTGCCACTACTGCTTTTTAGTATAGAAACACTTGCTTCCCAGGGATTAGTGTTTCTTCCTCTCAGAAAATAGTGATAAAGAGGGATGCTTATTCAGTCTGAGGTCACAAAGCACCAGCTAACGTCAGGCTGGGAAGAAGCAGAGGGAACTGACCCCTCTCCTGGCAAGAAATGCTGCCTGCTTGTTCCAAGGAGCAGGAACAGCATAGCACCCCCTGCACAAAGATCCCCTCAAGGATCCCTTTACCTACCCACCTGCTGCCACCCGGCGCACGTCGCTTACGTAATCCAGAAAATGGTAGGGGGAGCCTGCAGGTCGGTGGGATGACAAGCCATGGCCAGAAAAATCCATTGCCACATAATAGCAATCTGAAAGGGAGAGACTATCACATGTGCAGTCCTGCAACAAGAAGAACCATCTTAATGAGCCAGACCTACCTCTGGGGAGCAATGGAATGAGCTTGTCAAAGGTGTTGGCATTGTCCAGCCAGCCATGCAAGCACAGCACCGGGTGTCCTTCCGAGGGTCCCCAGGCTTTGGCTGCCACGTGGCCCCAGGGCACAGGGAACTTCAACTCTGAGAACATGCCTAAAATAGAGTGCTCACAAGTGATATCCCTGGAGAGCTACGTGCTCGGAGTAGGTCCCAGGGATCTTGTTAATGGCCCAGAGCTCTGAAAAGAGTAATACAGGTCTTTAGTAACTCACTAGCCTCCTGTGGTCTTAATTAGCAGCTTGCTGATTTATAGCTCCCCATTTAACATCCCAAGCTGCTGTCCCTGCCTGTTTGGGGAATCCGCCTCCCAGCACGTACTAGCAACGCTCTCCCTACACAGGAGAAGAAAGCCTCCTCTCTGTGGCTCCGCAGCAGCTGCAACCCAACCAGAAGGCACAGGAGATCTGGCAAGAGGGAACCCCGCAGAATTCCCCCAGCTAGCTGCACTCAGCCAGGCACCTGTCCTGGACCAAAAAGACAATTTTGGGAATAAGGATGCTGCCTCCAGTACTAGACTGTTACCACCTTCTTCTCTTTTACCTTGGTACTTCTCCTCTTTCACACCATCAGTTGGCACCTTAGAGAGAACAGCTGGCTATATGCCACACAGCAGGTCACTGGAGCCACCTTCCCATGCATCCCTCAGCGCCAGGGACCCTGCATGGCATACAGGTCCACAACCTGCCAGGCACCTGCTCAATCTCAAACCTGTCTCATCACTGCCAATCTGCCTGGCAATCACTGAGCTACATCTGACCCTTACTCAACCCCAGGCTCCTGAGTGAAACCCCCAGTACTACCTAGCCTCTAGGGATCTTCCAGGGGTGGTTTTAATATCTCCCTGTTACCCTCAAGCCCTTCTGACCCAAGAGGCACCTCATGGGCTGCCTGACCTCCCCAGCCCCAAGTCTCTTATGCTATATCCCCTTCCCAGTGACTTGTCTCAGGTCTGTGCTCCCTTAAATGCTATGCTGACACCCCACAACAATTAAATCACTCTACAGCAAGTCCCTCCTGAGCCCACACAAACCTCTGTAAGGGGCAGGCTGAGAGCTGCTGTCAGGGCCCTGAGAGCACTTACAGGCCCTAATAGTCCCAATTAGCCATCCCTGGGGCCTTCCCTACATCTTTCCCTCCTGCCCATGAGCCTATTTAAGCTCAGCCCAGGACCAGGCCCCCAGTGCTGCAGGAGTGCTGGTCTCCAGCAGCGATGGCCTGGCCCCAGGGATGCGGCCCTGCCTGCTGATCATGGGGCTGCGTTGGATGCCAGCTGCATTTGCCGGGCCTGATCCTGAGCACCGCAGGCTGACTTCCTGGTGTGACCGTGGAACTGCCTGATGACCTGGGATCCTGGCAGAGCCTGATTGCCCTCCCTAGGCCCAGCGGGGCTCCAGGACAGGGGCCTCCCCAGGCGGGCAGGAAGGGCCACTACACCCGGAGCTTTGCCTCAGGGCGCCCTGGGGCTGAAGGGCTGCCCGGGGACCGACCACCCTCCGGTACTGAAAGCGGCCC